TCTGCCTGAAGTCAACGTCAGAATGCTCTTAGATACACCCGTCATACTTCATACATGCAGCTGCATGCGCATGACGACGAATTGCTAAGGGAGTGCGCCAAAGCACAATGCCTTGCCTTGCCATGTTCCAGCACAGCCAAGGACTGCCCAGCTCGAGCATGGTCCTTCAGAGCACCTCACCACATCCCACTATCCCGGCAACTCGGGAACTGCATTTCAACTTCTCTCGCAACTTGTCACTGTCTGCCCGACCACGCAGAACGAAGTAAGTTCGTGACGAAGTATGGGAACCTGCACCGGCATGTCTTTGCGTCGCTGTTCATAACGCTCTGTTCACACGGTAGTGAACGATCCAGCCTGAATATAAGCAGAAGCAATATACTTTGAGGCTGGCCTCCAGTGACTCCATCTCAGCTCCGGATGGGACAACTAATGCTTTTAATCCGACATGAGCAAAAGAAGATATCTTGCCAAATGCTCACCAACTCCGTGAATCACGACATGCCTGCGGTGCACTTCACCGTTCGCAATACATCGGGAGGACAAAAGTTTTGCCCTACTGCACCCTTCTTATCTTCAGAAGTCTTGCGGAGTAAGGGAGTACCGAAAAGTGCGATTTACGTGGCCTGGCCAGTGGAGTTGTTTTTACCCCGTTTAAGAAGTTTACTACGTAATGTTTCGGAGGAGCGTGACCCACTTATGCTGGGATTCTACGGGGGAATGGGTGACTGTGTTCGACGACACAACGAATAGGTCAAACTTTCGTCTTACCGCAGTAGTCGGAAACTGCCATCATAGCTGCTGTCATAGCTCGTGTCTTGAAGCCTTTTCCGGAGTCGAAATATTCGCGGGCACGATGCTTGGCATCCTCACACACAGCTTTTCAAGCTGCTGGCTTCGTTCGGCCATCCGCAATGAGGGCAGCAAATTCCGCATGATCCCGGATCTGGCATTCTTGGAGCTCTTGAACTGCAACTCTTTGGAGCGGCCAAAACCAAAACTATTTTGAGGATCTCGCAGTACAGATGCATCACGCATCACTGCAGCTCCTCTGCAACTTTGTGAATCAACTGTTTTCTGGATGGCTGGGATTAGCTCAACGGCCGGTTGACGGTCTCCCGGCTTGAATTCTTCCTCGTGGTCGCTCTTCAGATCAGACCTTGCAGCAAATAGAAATGATTCATTATGCCTTGCTACAGCGACAGCTAGTCTCGTGATGCAAAGCTTCAGAAATTGAACTCGCAGCAGCTTTTTTTGCCTGTGATATCTGCCTTGCACGGCATAAAGGTTGCGGTGCGCGGCAGGAGTGTAGCAGGCATCGCTTGACGCTTCGAGCAGTTGTTGCGAGCTTCTGGCACACTGACTGCAACAGCGTGGGCTGTCCAGTTTTGCGTTGCCTGCAAGCAGCATGTGTGCTTGAAAGAACTTTGTCCTTCCTCATCACGGGCACCGAGTCTGCGATTTCAAAACACAGACTGGTCTGTGAACCCGAACGCTAGCGCAGCATCTTCATGAATTCGGCATAGTTGATTTTACCATCATGATCGAGGTCGCAGCCGTCCAGTGCCTGCCACCAACCATGCTCACGTGCAAACGCTAGAACTGTTACTGTGTACACTAATGTGTGGGTTGTCGCCTCTGCAATCTCTTCCTTGGTCACCCCGTGGCCCTGGACAGCTGTGAGCAGCTCCTCCTGTCGTCGCTGAGAAATGCTGCATCTATCATTGCGAAAATGTGGTCAGCAGGGCATGTCCGAATCTTGCCGAAGCCTTTTGCCAAGTCAAATCGGACCACCTGCAGGTTCCACAAACAGTGTGACAACACCATGGGGTTTCTCATATTCTGGGTACAGGGAAGGGGGCGCTGTCCTCACCCGGTGCTTCGGGCAGGCGCCCTGGCACTTGTTGCGAAAAAACGTTCCACGGTGCTTCTCCAGGCTCTTTGGACCCGCCGAACTCATTGCAAGCCCCAGTACTGTCTCTCTTCCCGCCAAAGTTCCGTGAATGTTTTGGGTTTTGGAATTGGAAATCGTGCTCCTGCCAAAATCCCATGCCCATGTTGGCCGTCAAGGGCCTTGGTGTGGCATGGAAACCCTTCCGTTTCAAAAGGGTTTCGGAATGGCGCAACTCGACCTGGTGCGTGCTCGCCAAAGCGCCTTGCGTACTTATGGGTGCACGTTGTCTTCGGCCACTGTCCTGTGCACCTCTGCTTCGAAATTGTGCCCCCACCGCAGAGCAGTGCATCTACGATGCCACAACTTGATTGTGCTCCCACCGCAGAGCAGTGCATCTACGATGCCACAACTTGGCCAATGACATCGACGGCTCCGTCAAAAAACTTTTGCTGCAAACTACAAGGGCAATCGGAACGTCAGACGGCAAAAGCTGGCTGGACACTTAAAGCCTGCATAAGCCTGCAAAGCACGCTGTCCTTGGTGATATGGCCATCTCCATTCCTAGTTTGCACGCTGGCTGTCGGAGGTCTCTCCCATTTATCCGACACTGTGCTACACCAAACATGCTTAAGCCTTGAGCGAGAGAGAAAGGAGAACGACAGGCAAAACTCTGAGGACCTTTGGGAAGGCTTTGCAACTGCCTCTTGCGTACGAAGCTTCTTGTCGACATTCCCGAATGCGTCCAAGAGCTTTGCCCATTTCGGGCTTGCCTCAACTGATGGCAAAAACGCACTGCACAGTGGCTCAAGCACCTACCTGCCACACTTGCGCTTGTCAGCACTCGCTATGGGTCTGAGACATCTTTCCGTTGGCCTTCAGCCGACTGCAGCCTCAGGTGCGACCCGGAAACAGAGGAAATCTTGGTGTGCCATGTCGGGTGCAGCTCAGGCGCAAGGCGTCCTTGAGGTGCTGCTTGGCCTGCTGCTTGGCCTCGCTTGTTCGTGTCACGTGATGTTCGATAGCTGTTGCACACAGGCAAGGTTTAAGGCCACGTTATGCCTCGCAATGCATCGGTCACGGCATAAGTTTTCATGGACACTGGAGAGGCATCATGTCCAGTTTGGCTAAGAGTCCGCAATCCTTTCATCCTGCGTTCAAGCTGCTGTCTCCGATCCCGTTGTGGCTGACTTCGGGGCTGTGGCAGGCGAGTTGCCCAACCTGGACAGGTCAGATCTGGAGACCACTGCAGGAGTCGGAGGAAGTCTTCTTCAGTGCAGACGCATAAAGGCAACGCATAGAAGGAAATCACAACCAACACTCCAGCTGGGAAGCAGGAAATCTCTCAACTCAGTATTGGCGGCCATGCGCGCGGTGCCAGGAGACCGTCGATGCAAGCCTTTGGACCAGACCTGATCTCAAACCGGCAATGTAGCCTCTGCACCAGCCCCAGTGATCTGTTAACGTCAGGAAGCTTGAGTGGCATTTCGTCGAATTTCACCCGTGTTGCAGCTGCTAAACTATACTTACCCGCTCCATGGTCATTACGCTGGATGCTAAACAGCACCTGTGGCTTCCCCAAGTCTTGCGACTACTGCTCAGGATCCCTTCCAAGAGAGGCTGTCGATGGAGACGTGTGACAGCCAAGAAACTGTGTGAGTCAGTGAGGCCAGAAAAGACACAGCAGGTGCGGGCCACCATTGCAAGGCCTGCAGGGAGATTGAGTCCGACCCAACTCGCACGCACTACTTAGCACCGTTCAAGCCAACTGCTCTTGCCATGGATGGTTCGACAACTGAACTGTGGACCATGTCAGAGAGCGTAACTTTGCTATGCAGAAAGCTTCGTCTGACATCTGCTAGAAGCTGCGAGGCCATTCACTGGAAAGAAAGGGTGCGAGATGCAGTGTGGTGTAGCTGCGTAGCTTGTCGGATGCCTGGCGTTCCACCCTGGCGGTTGCCACGGGAGTCGGAGGCAAATGAAACGTCGGTGCAGACGGTGCCGTCAGCATACCTTCACTCAGATCAGACCAGTGTGATCCTAAACTAAGCGCATTCATTTAAGGCCGACCATGGTTCGCTTAGGTTCACAGCCTTCTGAAGAAAAGAAACAAAGCAAGCACTGATCAACAGCAAAGCGATCGCAATTTCACTAAACCACCGGACAATGGTCGCTATGTCTTGGTCACCGACCTGCATTCATGAGTTGGCTGCACTCCAACCGTGCCAGCGCAAATTTCGATGCAGCTCTGCAGTGGTGCTACCGGGATCTATCCTCTCTGAGCCATAACTGCGAAGTCGCCGTCGCTCCTGCACTCGACATAGTTTCTCATGGTGTCCAGCTCAGCAGCAAACGACGGCGGCACCACCAACAAGGCAGAAATGCGCCCGTAGCACCACCACCACTACCGCCGCGTGCCGCCACCACCAGCAGCACTACCACCGTGTCCACCACCGCAGCTGCCGCCGCAGCTGCAAGAATATGCAGCAACAACACCACCAATACAACTACCGCAACAGCAGCAATAAAGCAGCAGTAGCAGCAGCAGCAGCAGCAGCAGCAGCAGCAGTCGTCTGCTGGCGACAAATGCGGAACAGTTGACAGATCCATTATGTTGAGCCATCTACAGCTCTTGTACTGAGGCCAGTCCTGATATTCTAGATAGTCGAATTCACGTGTCAAAGTCATGAAGAGCTCTGTCAAGCATTGGTCTTATAAACATGCCTGGTCTGCGCCGTGGCAAGCATTGATAGTTCCGCTGAGCCGTGGACTGGATATTCGGAGAGTTGGTGTCCGCATTGCAGAATTCTCGCCGTCGGAGCAAGCACTGCCTAACCTTGAGGACATGCTGGTCTTGTGAAGCAGCCTCATTCCAAATATCCCTACCCAACATGCGTGCTCGCCTGTGTAGCATGGCTGCGGTTCGAGTTTGTCTTCCTTAGGCTATGTTTAGATTATCTTCCTTGAGCAACGACGCTTTCGACGAAGAAACTCGAGGAAGGCCATCGAGCTGCCTGACAGCAGATCATCCTGCCGAGACTGCCACGGCTCGGACTTCCACCGTTCCACCCACCGCATATTTTCCAAGCATGCAGCCGATTTCGTTAGCTCAAAGGACAGAATTCGGCGACTCGGGCAGAGTCCCTTTCAAACGTTCCAGCTCTTCGCGCCTCAAGGCAGGGAAACAAACGCGCCTCGGCCTGAAATACGCCCAAAGAGCAGCTCAGTTGCAGGCAAGGCCGCCTCTCTATGCTCTCCTGCACTTGGCGCCACTTTCAGGACGGCACAAGCACAGGGCCATCAAGGCGCTCTCTCGTTTGGCTTCACTTTACTTAGAGTTTTCTCAGCTGCGCTCACCCAAATCGTGCTCGACTTGACATCAACCTGGCAGTTTCCGAAGCTCTTTGCCATGAAGATAGGCACCAAGCTCGGCATGGGCTTCAGTGCCAAGTTGTTGAAACCGCAGGTTCACGCTGGCATGAAGCAGTGATACAGTGACAGAAATCTGCACAAAGACTGCGACAGCATTTGCCAACCATTTGGGAAGAAGAGTGCCAGAGACCTGAGACCCATTTACTGGTTTACTAGGCCTTTTGTGTGGGCGTCTGAGAACGTAATGCAGTGCCATGTCACAGGGCCTAATCTAGCAGCAGTCCTGCAAGGCCTTGCAGTCACACTAGGCTGGATCATGTCTTGCAGTCCTTCTGCAAGGTGCTGAGCGAAGGCCCTTTTCAGCTCATCAAGCTCCTGCACATTGAACCCATGACATACGCGACGCCTATAAGTGGACTCCAGCTTACAGCATCCTGGACTGGAGGACGAGATGGAGTCATTCGTGCTTCAGGGTCCTCCCGGTAAGGAGCGCCCTTCAGCCCTCGGAGTCCAACCTGGCCAAGAGTGAGGTCACCAAAGGCCTTTCCAACGAAAACGGCAAGGCCACCTCTGCTTCTTGCAAGGCTGTTGCGACTGCCAGGAGCCTTTCGCCGAGGGGGCACGCAGCCAGCGGCGTAGCTGCCTCTTGAAACTTAAGCTCGCGGCTCGCGACGCTTCGCTTCGCCGTGACATGGTGGTCAAGACTTCAGATCCAACACAACGGCAGGATGCCCTACAAGTACTAGCAGAGTCAACACCAAGTGCGAGTCAGGTTCTGCCCAAGCTCAATCGTCGCTTTGCTGGCATGTGTGCTTGCTGCGATGGCGCGATCACAACGTCTTTCCCGAATCGGATGAACCGCGAGCAGAACACGAACATGTCAGAAGATCACAGCGTCTGTTTCGGGGCACAAGTTATGTCTGCCCCCTGCAGTAGCGACAACTGACTGGTGCCGGTGCAATTCCCAAACCCGAAACCCCAAAGTAATGATTTGCTTGGTCTTCTTCTTGGTTCCTGGTGGTCGTGGTGATGAAGGTGGTCGTAGTCGTGGCGACGGTGGTGGCGGTGGTGGCGGGGGTGCGTTGTGGTACGCAGTGGTGGCAGTGCGTGCCAACAGAAAAGAACCTCGGGTCGCGTGCTCGGTAAACATTGAGTATGACACGTGGGGGCGACAGCAAAAGTCGGCGTCACCATACGGCCATTGCGGATACCTGTGCTTGGATGCAGAGTCCGAAGCTAATGACGATATGGAGTTCTTGCTTCACTCTTCGCCGAAGACTGCTGCTGCCTTTCAATCAAGAGGCAGACACCTAACTGGAGTCATCAATCAAGTCAGAGCTGGAGGGTGCCGTGCCCACTTTCCCGGTTGCAGATTGAAGGAGTGCGCCCAACGCAGAGGGCAGAGTTTAGACTGCTCTCCTGTTTTTGCACCCTGCTTGCCAATCCGATGACGATATAAGAGAACAGCTGGAATTACTTTTCTACTGCGCCTCTTCCACCTCTTGTGCCATCAGTCTCACTTGAGAGGCCCAGTGGGGGATGTCCACCTCAGACGAGAAGCTCCGAAGGCGATGAGGGTCGCAGCCCTCTTGCCCGACCTCGGCCTTCTTGCGCAGAAGCTGATTTTCCTCCACGAGCCTCTTAGAAGTCTAAAAGGACTGGGCAAAGGCTGCGATGTAAGCTGCAACGTCACGGTGCCTTGTGTGGCTTTCTCGTAGGCTCTCGAGCTCTTCACGCATGGAGGCGACCTGAGCATAGGGCACAGTTAAGGCAAGGGTCAAACCGCATTATGCCGGGTGGTAAAATTCGGCCTGGTCTGGATCCAGATGTAGGAGATGAGACGACGTCTTGCCCTTCACTTTCACATCCTCTGGTTAGTGTACCGGGATGCCGTTGGATCATTTTCAAGCTCCAAGGGGCACCTTGCCCTTAGCGATGAGGGGTATTCCCAGCTTTGGCCCTGGCTCCATGACTGCTGCATAAGAATAGGACACTCGGACGCTGCCTGTGAAGTCAGGGCATACGGTTTGCACCGCACCACCCAAGGCCTTGCAACAACGGACACTGCAAGTCAGCCACGGCTTGCAGCTGACGAGCTTCAGCAAGCATAGCATGCTTTGACATGTATGCACCAAGACCGGCACATAGATGCATGTGATGACCTTGTTTGAGGACTTCATTGCACTTCTGTGGGGTGGGCATGTGGCAAGTAGGTCGATGACCGAATCCAAATTCTTCTCTTCGTACCTCATGTCCAACGATCTGCTTCCGGGCTCAAGGCCCGGAGAAGATCTTGCTGGGTTTGGCGATAGCAATCTGAAGGCGTTTCAAAGCGATGGTCTGTCTGCAGGCAACAGCACTATCATGCTTCAAACTTTCACCAAGGCAGTGGGTGTGGGTCTGGGGCTTCCTGACGCCTTGACTGCAAGTTTCCAAAGCACATACTTTCGAAACGTGGATCGCCTTAGGGACAGTCCAAAGTGCCGTTCTCGGGACACGTGGAACATTGCAGTTCAATTTTTGCTGAATGCCGGCCTGATGGTCTCCTGCACCCCTCCCCCGCCCTTACCCCCACCGTGACAGCCACAGCCAAGCTCTAAGATGTCTGGGTCGCTCAAAACTGCCCGAGGACTCCACAAGTCTGGAGTGTCGAACATGGAGCTCTCTGGAAGTCCCAGCTCTCTGGCCTTGCTAACAGAAGCGCCGCCACCAAAGGCATGTCACACTGTCCAGCTCAGCGGCTGCGTTCAGGAACTTCGTGATGTTCTCCTCAGCAGAGCACAAGACCAAGCATCGTCGAATGCAAGCGCCAGACATGATGCACCCAAGCCACCATCTGCTTGAATGGTACAGACTGCTGGTTCACAGTCCTGTTACGCACGTCTTCCACATCCCCAGTCAGATGTTGTGTTCAGCACTTTAAACACCACATCTGTGCTGGGATGTCCTGATGAGTCCAGGCTGAATGGCATTGACCAGGTTGCAAAGGACCACTCCTTACCAGGACTCACAGTTTAGCCAGCGAGGGCAGTCGAACGACTGCAGCGCCTGATTTCAGCCATTCGCCAACGCTCGCTTCGCCCTTCTGACCTGGCACACCGGCTGAAGGAGCAGCGGCTTGCTGCTTTCTGTAGTTCTGTAGGGACCGTGCCGCCGACAATAGACTCGATCCACTGGACAACGTCCTGCCTCAGACTCAGCTATCTGACAAGGCTGACACATTCAAGCAATGCAATCATGAAAGTCCCATGTCTGAGTCAATGCTCACACAAGAGCCGTCCAAGCTTTTCTGGGATCCTAGCTCGTTGTTGGCGCTTCGCTTGGACTTCTGATCCCACTCGATTGCAGCCGCGAGGTCTTCATCATCTTCCACTTCCATGCCAACTCAGTCTGTGGATACCCTCCATGTACAAACCTGCTTACCGTAAGCGGTATCTGGACCTTCCGCTAACTGTCTGAACAGAGTCTCTGGTTTCGTCGCTACAACCGTGACTGCTTGAAGATTCGTGTCTGTGCTGGTTCCACAGATGTCTTTGAGCAGCTGACACACACACACACACACACCCAGCCGCAGTCAAACTACCTGAGCATCTATCGCTGCAGTCTCCTGTCACCTCTGAGAACTTCGTGGCCGGGCTCTCTTTTCGTACACGCAGCACCGGTGAACATCAGGCAGAAAAGTGCCACACATGAGCGGAGGTTTCCTCGGAGGGACGCTGCTCGTCACGGCAATTCGGCGCCAGCGCAGAAGATGGCACCTCCGCAAGCCCCTTCCCTAAGAAACATGTCGAACATCTTGCAATGCACTGGGCGACTGCTACAGTATTGTCGCCCACATGGGAAATTGCCCCAAGTCAAAATCATGCGTAATGCAGACATATGCAGACGTTCTAAGCCAGGAAGCAGGTGGTGTAACATTCGACTTGAGCTGATGGGCTTTTCGGTGTACAGCCCGCGACTGCGCAAAGCCGGTGGACTCTGGAGTGGAAGGGCGGCGAGACTCAGGAGCCGGTTCAAAAGTAGCTGGCCTCGTGACGGTGCGATCGTCGTGGCAAAGTGGAGGCGAGAAAAGCTGCTTGAGAAAAACTGCCCTCCGACCCGGACGTACTTCATCACATGCAAAATATCGATAGTCTCCTTGCCGGCTAGCACCCGACACGACGACATGTTGATTGATGTTGTGGCAACCATCCTTTCTTCCTGTCACGTGCCTGTCAGTCAGGCCATTACCCCTCGGCCTGCAAAGGTGTCATGCAAAAATCAATCGCCCTGTGCCTCTCTGAACCCAGCAGATTGGGGGTTCTGGGATCACACAGGCTGCCGCGCAAATCAGCCGACATGGTGAATTCTGCTATGGCCAGGCATGTAGACGCACAGATGGACCGCGCGAATCATCCTGTGCGGCGCCTAGAAAATAGCTATGTGCTGCAGTGCTTCAAGCACGACCTATATCCCTCAGCCATGGTTTCAGGTGAAGGCAGACCTGGAACACCTGCCGAGTGCATTTCCGCCTGTATTTAGTCCTCCATGCACAGGTCCTTCAACAAAGGCTGCCCATGCGCTTTGCCGAAAGCATATGTGTAAGGTGCTTGCCGGGGAATATCTTGGCGAAGGAAAGGCTCTTGCTCATCCAGTGCTCTGCATACCTTCCGATCCAGGATGCATACTTTCCCCAATAGAAAAAAGACAAAGAACTGCCTGTACTGCTGCAGGCGATAGAAGTGCCTGCCGGTATTCCTCACGTACATCTCCGATGCAATCACATGTCAATACAATGATCACAGGCGGCCACACACGCTGAGATCTTCGCCATGACTTTGCGATCAGCCAGGCCGCTTCTTCCTGCCGACAGGGTCATAAGTTGGACCAGCACCAGGAAGTTTGGATCCAGGCGCTCCTCCAAGTTGGAGGAGGCCTTAGAAGCGACTTTTTTATGCAACAGCCAACAGCCGTCTGCCAGCTCCAGGGCAAGCACCAGCTCTTCTGCTTGGCTGGCTTGGCTCAAGATGTTGCAGAGACCTCTCTTTAACTTCAAGGCTTCGGCCGCCTCTCGTGGCTTCTCGACGCGCGTGCCTTCGAAAAGGCGGAAGCCCTCATTCCTGGAGGACAGCAAGGCCACCATGTTGCCTCAAAGGCAAAACTTGCTGGCAAGGAACATCAAGCAACACACACACACACACACAAGAAGCGACGCTACTCTCTGTCGGCCCCACGATAGGCAGCGACGATCTGCTTGTAGTCCACAGCCTGACTCGACGTCGATTTCCCTCACACTGTCTGTGGCCACCGTTCTCGCGGAGTCCATGAGTGCGAGGCAGCCCGCGTCGCAGTCAGGACTTTCAGATAGCTTTGCAAGCAATGAATGGCCAACCTCCACAGGCAGCTTCCAGTGGACTGGATAGAGTTCCCTGCAGCTCTCAATTCGCCCCGCCGTCGGTATGAAGATGCCGCAAGAATTTTGGCCATCCTCAGCCGCCGGTAACAACATGGTGTCAGCCCACATCGGGCGGCCAGGGCTAGGGCCAGGGAATAGGAGAGAACACCGTTTTGAAAAAGTCTGCGCTACGGTCACTACTTTGGCATCTTTGGCAGCTAGCACCCGGTGAGCAAGGAAAGCCAGCTTGTACAAAAAGGGGTGCACAGTGAAGAGCAAGTGCGGCAAGCCGGCCGGGGCGGAGACGCCAAGAGGCTATGGAGGCCAACTGCTTCATGAGAAGATGCCTCCAGAGGTCGGGAGTTCATCAAGACGGGCAGGCAAGCTTCTGGGCCTGATCGACAAACTGCTGCAAGCTTACCTCAGTTTCCTTGGCTCATACGCAAATACTTGCGGGAACCTCGCCAAATCTAGGAATCTAATTATGCAGTTCGTGATGCAGCAACATGCAGCTGAATGACACCGGTCAGACACTTCACCTCAAACTCCACAAGCACGAGGATCATGAAGAGCCGATGAGACCAGGGAGAACTCCGGAGCTCGGTCTGCGTGTGCAAAGTATTCAGGCAATCTCCCCATGTCCCGTTCTCCCCCCACCTTGTCCAAGCTCTCTGCTGACACCTTCTCCGACTGGCGACGCAGCCTCTGAACAACGCTGGATCTCCGCATTGTTACAGCGGCTACACGAACAGATCCTGCAATTTGCCTGTGAGCTGTGTCCAGATTGCCGCGTGCTTGCTGCAGCTGCATGCTTCGGTCTTGAGCATTCGTCTTAAGATCCTTCGCCTGCGCACAGGGCGAAGGTGCTCTTACCACGCATGGGTTCATGACTTTGCAACCACGACAAGGTTGTGAAGATACTACGCTTGAAAATCGAATGTTCATGGTAAGACCCCCATGTGGCGCACAGGAGCGAATCTGCACAGTTCTCGCAGTCCAGCGACCGAGGCCCAGACCTGCTGGATTCTGGCAGATGCCTCCAGTACCAAACACCAGGCCCTCGCACTCCAGAGCTCCTGAAGCCTGCCGAGCTTTGCCAACTGTCGAACTGACGGTCCACGCGCTCACAGCCTCCGGACCTTGCAACGTCGAGGTCTGGTCCATGCGGCGTTAGGGTGTCCAGTGGCTGAAGGATGCGGTGGATGCGCTCGAACCTCGGGCTAAACTCTAGGCCAACAGCGGGATGTGTGCAAGGACGAGCATCGCACATGGAAGATGCCAGTTCCCACTGGCAACTGTCTCCAAGTTCTTGTCCTCTGCCTAGGCGTGGACAGCGACAAAGCTGGCCAGCAGGTGCAAAGAGTGCCTCCAACGCCCTTAAACCGCCCTTTATCGGCTCTTGTCATGACATGTCATGACCGTGCACGGGACCACAAACTGAAAGTGACAGTCAGACTCAATCAGGCGCTGATTTCCCTTCTCCTGGCCGAGCAACTAGTAACTAGAGGATGTGTGGATCAGGTCGCACCTCCACCTGCTGTATGCATCCAGGCTGCTCCAGGCCAAAGACACAGCTTCTCGAAGCGCCGCAAGCCCGGGAGTAGCAGGCGCAGAGTTGCGAAGTTCAGCTTGAAGTGACACCCTGGCCGAAACCGCCGCTACGGCGTCCAAACGCTGCAGCAGCTCCTCCCGTAACACGCAGCTCCGTAGATCCACAGCTGCTGAGGACTCACATTTCTGACAACCCTTTCGCGGCTGTCCGTATCCGATCGCTTCAACTCCAAAGCTCGGATCAACAGCTGCACTGAGATAATCAGGCCGTTCGGATCTTCCTGCGACTCCTGGAGTGCATCGGCTAAGTCGGTTAAGTGTCAAAGGTGCAAAATGGTGCAAACAAGCAGACAGCACGGCTCCTCCCGCACCGCACAAGCGACGAAGAACTCCAGGCCGGCGGTTGCCAAATCCTCCCAAACGCATCACTCGCCCAGTCGCTGCCGATGCACTTGCAGGCGAAATCGTCCCGAAGCTCCTCTGACGACTGCTCCAGTACGAGCTTCGCCGCTCTTGCCGCCTCCTCCAACCTAGCCGCGGCCGGAGCATTTCTGGGATGCCGAGGGTGCTGGGATGCTCGGTGCCCTGCGAGAGGCCCGGGGAGTGCTTTCGCATCATCTCCAGCTGGAGCCAAGCCTCGCTGGGCTGTGCACAGCAAATTTCGCATCTCTGCTGATCGCTGAAGGCTTCGGCCTCCTGAGGGTGTTCTTTGTGACTTTCCTCGGCCTGGCCGGAGACTTTCTCGGTCACAGACCGACACCCTGTGAGCCTTCAACATCCATTTGCCTTCAGCTTCTCGCAGGAGACTTCCAACAGCAGGAGCCGAGCACCGACTTCGACTCTCGCATCTGCCAAGGCCTCGCTCAAGGCCGGCGTATCGCTCGGCTTATGCCTCGGCCTCTCGGCCTCCCCGCCTTCTGTGCAAAAGCTGCTGCTTCCTTGTTCAGGCCAGCACGGTGACAGCAACGCCCTGGGTCACCAGAGCATCGATTTGTCTTGGAGCATGCATACAACCCTCCAGTGCCCACTAGTATGACCCAGGCCTACGGCCAGCCAGCACTTCGCCACTTCTTCGGGTGCCTCGTGGTGGCGGAACATGTTCCATCACAGAGTCAATGTTGCTGCAAGGCCAAAGGCCTCAGGATGCGATGAAAGGAACATTGCCTCGGTCAGAAATCAAACGGCGCGGCACGACGACAAACACACCACACCACACAGGCTGGGCTTCCTGCTGCCTTCAGGATGTCTTTTGCCTGGGGGGAGAACAATAGGTTCGTTCTAAGCTGCGCGAGCTACTGGTAAGGTCGCGATCGTCTAAACAGCCGGAGGAGCCGCATCAAGGTGACCGTTCCTCCAAAGAGTAGCCTGGGAGCTGCGGAAGTTGCTGTCAGGACAGACCGAGCGACATTTCCGGCAAGCTCCAAGTTTCAGGCCACCAAGCCCCAAAGCTTCCTGACATCCAGTCTGCAGCGTGCAGCCAAGTCAACCAAATTGCAATCACTCTGCTCCATCCCGCGCAGACCTGGTTTCCACGTCGAGGGTGCTCGAAGCTGGGTCGAGGGGCCTTGCGACAACAAGAACTCTCCTGCAACCCAGACCCGGATCGCCGTGTCACTGACATCCGAGCTCTCCATTTTTTGTCTGATCGCGATTCTGCGATGCAGCCACTCTTTGATGGCGTAAGCTTGCAATCGGTTCACGGCATCGGGTCACTGCATAAACCGGAAAAGCTACAGGCACCTCGTGCTTCTGCGTGATGCCCACCTTGCAAAGAAACATGTTCGGGGCCACATGATGCCAAAACATGCACATCGCACGTTATGATGTAGCGCTACTTCCAATGATACTTACATGCCTCACTCTTGCCTCACCAGCCTACACAAGTTCAAGGTGTGGTGTGCAGGGTGCTGCACACACGACGCTGCAGAAGCTTGTCGCCACTTCTGTCTGATGCTTTTTCATTCTGAAGCGGTTGAGCATGCATGCAGAGCTGGCCTAGCGTGGGTTCTGGTGTGGTGCTCACCACAATTTCTGCTGAGGCCTGTGCAGCTTGGCCGCTACACTTGTCTTGTTTCGGGCGTTCGCTTCACCCACCTTTGCTGCGCGCCTTGCTACCATGCGAATGCAGTGGTTTGTGCTTCGTGCGGCTTCTGGAAGAGATGATCTGCAAGATCGCTGACAAAGGTGCTTGCAAAGCTGCAGAAGACAGAACCAGAAAACGACGGCACAACCAGACATGCCAAGGAGCTGGTTTCTTTTGTGACCAGCTTGCCGTATCATGCTCTAAGCGAAGGAGTTTGCAGGAGAAGTGTGGCTCCTCCTCAGTCTGAACGAGTCAGCTCAGCCAAACCCTCTGAACGGACAAGGATCTTCGAGCCGGGCTTCTCAAGCCAGTGAGTCTTTATGGCAGGCCCGCAGTGGATTCTTTGCACGGGATGTGCTCGTGCGAGAGTCTCGGATGCCGAACACTCGGGCAGTAAGTGTAAATCAGTGTATCAGAGCAAGGAGGAAACACACGTTCAAAAAGTTCAAAGCCAAAGCCAAGGCACATCTTGGGAAGAGAACTGTCCTGCCGGCGCACAGGACATCATGAGCAGAATGAATGACCATGAAACATCTCGTGCCAGTTGCCTGCCTCAGCAAATGCCTTTCGAAGTGCAGATGGCAGTGAATTGCCACGCCGATCCTTGAGTGGAATCCTGGGCATTCTGTCTCGGTTTGCCGTGGGGTCGTCTCGTCCCGGGGGTTCAGCTAAGACTGTGTCGTTCTTCTCATTGTCTGAACAAGTCCCAATTATGCGCTGATTCCTGTTTTCCGGTGAGAAGGCAACCGAAAAAGGCTACTTATGGCTCTAGGGCTGAACTTCAACACGAGACGGATCAGACTTTCGGGAGCCATCTGAACTGCGGCACGAAATCTCACTGCCTTTCCGTGGAAGTGTTCCTCGGACCTTCCAGTCAGACCCAAGATGAGATGGGCTCCCCCTTTGATGGGAAACCAAAAAAAGAAGACTACTGACTACTGGAATCCAATGCGCTTACAGGATTCCCTCTCTTAGTCTTCCTGACGCACCACTGCACGAAATTCTGTTTAGGGCAACACAAGCATTCAGCAAGAGCTTATTCTTGCGCTGAGAATCAGATTCCAGATGGTGTATGTGTTGCCAGTGTAGTTCATGTCCATGAGTGGACAATCGCCATAGCCTCAGCTCTTCGCTGTGAGCAACATGCTTTTCACGCTGGCCAAGTTGCGTGTAATCACAGACCAAGGCACCGAACATACCAAACTCCATCTCAGGACCTCCTTTCCAGTAGCTCCGGCTGAACTCAAAGAAAGAATAGCCCATGAAGTAGGGATATCTCGGAGACTTCGCCAGCCTTAGCTTCGGAAGCTGAATCCCGAAGGGGTGTCCCGGAAAGCCCGGAGGGCCCCGGCCCCACACTCAACTCATGGCCGAGCTTCTGCACGGCTTCTGTGAGGTCCTCCTCCATGTTGCCATGGACGCTGTGATACTCACCTATGAAGACCTTCAGCTGGGACCCTGAAGTGGAATGGTCCAAAGAGACGAGTGTAGTCAGTACGTGGGCCGAGCCACAGGAACCTTCAACGTCGGAGTCCAGAAACTGCTTTGAGAATACTTGTTCAACATCATGTCCGCCACCTTATGCCGGGGAAAGTCTGTGCGGTTGCCTCAGAAAACTGCAGACTTACTAAGGCATGGGCCTCCCTGGCTTTGTTGGCCGTGTTGAAACTGTGAACAAATCGCTTGCGAAAAGCCTGAGTTATGCTGGCGTCCACAGCCCCAGAGTCTTTCGAATTCGCCGGCCTGGACCAAGTCGTTCCGGGGCGTGTAGTTGATGGGCTCCTTCTCGGTACCCTTCTGCAAACAAGCCCAGAACCTCGGTCCAGGTTGCCAGTGGTGCCGCGCGCAAGACATGTCCCAGCGACCAAGGTGCTCCTCCATTTGCCCCAGAGCAGGAGCATTGGGGTGAACCTCAAAGGGTGCACTCCCATGATCCGTTCCTGGTGCCGAAACCAAGAAGAAACTCGCGGCAGTGAAAACTGCAGTTGATGTAGGATCCCAGCGTTTGCATCTGGGAAGAGAGCAAACGACCACGTGATGGTCAATGCGATGGGGTTCCCAGTTACACCCACATCCTTCTCCTCAGCGCGTTCGCAGGCCCTACATCTCAGAACGACAGAGCGATGCCAACACAAGCAGCTTCGAACGGATGTTCCTGTTATTTCCTGTTGAGTTATGTACGTAGACCTCGAGTGGGATGGGGAACTCCTCAAATGCAGCTCAGCTGCAGCTTCCAAGATTGCATCGAACACAGATGCCATCGCTCTGCAGGTCAGACTTCGTGGATGTACCTGCGCGGGACAGGGCCGGGATCTGTGCCCATCGACTATGTTTTCGTCCTGGCCTTCAAGTCTGGTTCATTCGCCAAGATCAAGGCTTTTAGAGCAGGATGGTAGCCTAACAGTCGCTCCAGACCATGTCACAGTCTTCGCGCGATGCTGCTATGAGCCGAGTCGCGCTTGAACGAGTCGATGGCGAAACCTGAAGCGTCAGTGCCCCCAGAAAAAGAGTGTAGCTTCGCAAAAAACACATCAGCTGCCCTGAGAACAGCTGAGTATGCGGCCCATCAAGAGATTCTTGTGAAAGTAGAAGTAGGCCTCATCGAAGCAGTACCTCTCAGGTGCAGCGACTCTTCCAGCCTGGAGCAAGGGTTGCACTCCGCTGCACCAAGGCTAAGGACAGCTCCAGTCGTTGATCAAGCAGTTGTCCGGGCCCTGTGTGAAGCCAAAATCGCTCATGCCTGCGCTTGTAATGCCCCTAAAGGCTGTAACACAGGGGCCTTAATAATTATTGTAGGGCTTTGGGGCATGTTACAAGATCCTTCGGAACTTGCTTCGCCACACTTCCACATGGCTCGAGTCGGGAAACCCAGTCGCACCGCAGGCAACACTCTGAAAAAAAAATGCGTTTGAGAATGCGTTTGAGAACCCTCTAACTTGGGAGGCAAGCAGTCTTGTAAGCCTTCACGATACTGGGAACAATCGGAAGGCTGCGGGTACCTGCTACAACATCAATCCCCTTCTCATAGGCCAGGTCCAGGAAGGCCCTGTGGCTCGTGTTTGCATCGTTGCCTGGGGGAAGCAGCTTTTGTGCATGGGCACCGGAAAAATCTAGAGCCTAGTAGAGCCAGGCTGCCATACATTCGGATGGTGTTTCCTCCCAACTGTTTGATCAGCTCCAGGTCGCCGCGGCCCCAATCAGCCCACATCGCTCCAGTGATGTCTGCCATGTAGTCGTCACCGTTGATGGGGGACCCCGCCTTCTTCACGGGCGCGGGCCCATATGACACACCTCGGTTCCATTACGGCTAGCGTTTGCCAGAACCTGGGAGACTTTCTCTGTGGGGCCAGGCAGCCTTTCATCCTTTGATACGCGGGATCGAGCACTTTGGGCGTCTCGAAGTGCTCGTAGTTCACCGGACATGGTCTGGGGCAGGTGACCTTGTCGACTTCGTGTACAAACTGCCTCGGAGACTCCAATCGCCGCACAAAGTATTTCTTCCGTTGAGGTGCCGCGCACTACTTCGCTCCAGAGGCTTTGGATCATCGCAGCTAAGCCGCTGAAACTCCTGGAAACTGGAAGCTCCTGCAAGAAAGCTGAGCAGGGGATAGTTGCATAAAGTCGCGCCGTGTGCTGATGGCTGGGTCTGGTGACTCTGACTTCAGTCCTGCATGAAGACCAGCATACTGCTTAGGATTGGCGTAAATGTTGTCATGCATCCTGAATGGCGTGGGAACACACACGGGACCCCCGACAAGGAATTGAGAAACCACTACAACACTGCCAGGCACTGTAATCTCGAAATCTTGAGTATGCAATCTGGGAAAGGCAGGGTGCCATCTCCCCAGTTTTGGCCTAGGCACGCCCAGTCCACGGCTTTCCAGCAAAGGTCATCCATCTTGGGCGTGCCACAAACATCGCCGCCAGGCAACTCGCCTTCCACCAAGCAGCTTTGGGCAAAAACGCAGCAACCGTTGAAAAGAGCCCATGGGCTGGCATCATCGAGAATCTGCCGAGGAACTGAAGCCTTCCTTTGCCTTGCATACTCCGTTCTCGGCCGTGTACCCCGCAATGCACAGGCATTTGCCAGCCACGCACTGCGTCAATCCACGGCTGGCCGCGCAACTGAAGAAATGGCATCTGCCACCAGTGTCATGACCCTCGACGTTGTCGGGGACTGGCGTGCATTTGTCTGCTTCCTGCAGGTGAGCTGTGCGAGAGCACACAAAGCGGACATGCAAGCACATTGATTCGTCCTTGTTGTAGTAATAGTTCTCCCGGCAGATGCATCTAAAGTGATGGCATTCTGTCGGGCCAAGAGAAACTTCGTCACAGTTGGTCCAGAAACAGGAACTGCCGGTCTCTCGTGCTCCTCGAGCTGAACTCTTGGCACACCGCAACAGTGACAAAAACAGAGACTGTGACGTGGCCTTTCCATGAGAGAATGCTGGCATCGCCGGATGCTTCTTCGCCTTGAAGCATCACAAAGGAGTGGGGCCGACAGAGAGAAGGGAGCATGTGACAGAGAGAGCGAGAGAGAGAGAGAGAGAGAGAGAGAGAGAGACACAGAGAGACTGGGAGGCGGCAGACGTTGAGGATCGAGGCCGCAGAGGCTGTGGACCGCTCTGAAGTGTTTCCAGCATACATATAAGCAAAGCAGCACCAAAGGAATCCCTAATGCGAATCGGGCGAGCAGCTTTGAAGTAGCTCGTCTTGGTACCTGAAGCCAGCCATGTGAGATGTCGTACCACGCCGTTTCAGGAGCCTGCCAATACTCAAGAATTTCCGGCCGGGCAGCTCTTTCCTCATACCTGCCCTCTGCAACGCGTTCCTTGGTTACGGCCACGAGCTGTTCTGCTGCTCGGAGCTGCTTGGCATGTCTCTCTGTCTGTTGGAAGCCCCGGCCCGTATTTGCAGGCCAGCATCAGAGCACATGTTTCCGCTTCAGATCCGTCAGAGCATTCGTCATCCTCCGAGATAGGCACTGCCGCCTCAGACGGCCTGGGAATTCTAGTAACGATCTGGTATTGAATAATTGTTGACATACCCGCAAATTGCCGGACTGCAAACGTCAAGCGGCGTGAGAGCATCAGCTCTCTCTACGCCGCCAACACCACAGAGCTGCGCGGCCCCCAGGAAAACGGCGAGCCTTGTGACCATCATCGCAGTCTCCTGGCTGGGAGATCAGCCACACTCTAATATGCTGTAAGTCACTATGGACTAGGTTCACCAGAGACTGGTCCTCAGGCCAGTTGCGGCGTGTAGCGGAGCACAGCGAAGCGTGTGGCACAAACTCTCTTCGTCTTAGTCTGACCTATTCTTTGCTTCCCATACCTGTGAATCAAGGAGCATCTCTGGACATCTTTGGACCGTGACCCTTTTCTGCAATTAGCTGCGAAGTGGGCTGCGGATGTGCGGCCGGGACAGCTTCGTCCAGTGATGCAAACGAAAGGGTCTGTTATCGAGCTGGTCGACGGAGTTTGCACTCCGAGCACCGGGCTCATCCACAAGCTTCGTTGCAGCAGCGCATACCTGCGTGAATTGTCAACTGCCACGAAAATCTCGATTGGGAGCAGCAGATGGCAGATGCCTGCCTCATCGTTCGATGCGTCTGACTGCGCTGTGCCTCCCAGGGCGCTCTTGGTGAATTCCGCTGGCGTCTTGGACCGTTGACTGCCGAGACTCAGTTCCTGCATGTTTTGATCTTTCGCAGTGATGCGCGCTTGGCAGCTGGGCAAAGCTTTGGCCCACTCAGATGCACGGCGTGACTTTGCACGTTCGGCATGTGGCTTCACTGCAGGCCGGATCGGCCCAGCATCTGCAATAGTTCACGGGCATTGGAGCTGGAGTTTATCGGTAGTATTCGGTAGTTGTGTCCGCTGTTGGGCCGGGCAGCAACGCCTTGTTTGAAGAAAAGTGCGGCCGGCATTCAAGCCAAGCAGGGAAGTCTTGGCTGTGGAGTACTTGTTGGTTCAGTCAGAGGTGACGGCAGATGCCGTGGGAGAGCCACTCAAGGAGCTCGCTCTGTTGATCTCCGATTGGCCTTTCCAGAGGCTGCAGAACCATACATGAGAACAAGAGGAATCATTTGTATACAACTCTGGCAAGCTGGCGCCGGCCTTCACGAAAGAATGGCCAGATGTCGGGAGCTCGCCGCTTGTGACAGAGCGTCCGCCAGAAAATGCGACAGAAAGACCGCACGGGCACCTGAAAGCCGGACATGCACTTGGAGCTGGAAGTCTGAAAGCACACAGCCATATATCCCCCAGCCGTGACGTAGGGCCCAGGCAAACCATCGAGCTTTTGACAAGAATACGGCTGAAATTACCTAAGCCAAGCTGAAGTAGGACGCTCAGTCGGCGCAACGTCGAGTTGCAGATGCCAGCAAGGTGCTGCAAGTAGCAGAATCTTGCTTCCAAGAATGAAGTATCTCAGGGCAGGGTGGCACAGGCCGTTTGAATGATTGAAGAAGCTACAGGCAGGCAGCTGAACGGTGGAAGAAGATGTGGTCACTCAGACATGCTGCGTTGCGGAACTTGTACCCACAGGCCTGAGCAGCGTCCTGGCAAGAGCACGACCTGCCGACTCCTGGGTGAGCTCCAAGACGAAGGCGGCAATCCTAAGTCACAGAACCGATGCTGAAAAGGAGAGACTTTGCCGAGTGGAAAGAAATGAAGGTCCAAAGACGGTCTCAGCGAAAAGAGACCGTACAGCACTGCATAAAACAAGACCGCTTTTCTGCATCCAAGGCACGACACGGACGAAAGCATGCCCAAGACCAGCACCAGCGCCAACCTCAAAGAGAACCCAAACTGGCGACTAAAAGGGTTTTCCAAATCTGTGCCTCGAGCAAAAACGTTCACATGGCCAAGCTCCGGGCGAGATGCGCCATCGACGCCAGGACAAAATGCTACTCCAGTAACGCAACCATGGGCCTCGTTTTACCGCGTTCGCTTGAAGCTCGTGATGCCTCTGGTGGACGCACACCAAGACCACACCAAGCCAAGTTGCACAAGCGTCTGTTGCAATCATCCACAAGGATGCCTCGGCCGGCTTCCAATTCTACTTGCCGGATTTGGCCTATGCTTGCTCAGGACTGCCTGCATTGTCAGCGCTAAGACCGCTAAGAACTCATATTTGCTGAAAGACATGCCAATGCTGCACAAGCTGCAAATTGAGTTGATGTGGCTGGCCATGTAGTTCGGAATGTACCTCGTGAGAGGACCCGTCTTGAAAGACTGATCGAAGTTGTTTTCTTGCGACTAACCAGAGCTGATTCCAAAGGAACCGATATCCGGTAGGTCACTGCTTTGGTAGCTCCGGAACCTGCGGCCGGAGCGACAACCTTGCTTTGGGAAGTCTCTCCTGGCAGTGCACGTTCACAAGCTTTTACTGGACTGCGATTACTTCTACGATCTTCTACGGCTTGCACCATAGAAGCGCACTTCAAAAGGACGGCGTCCTGCGCCGAAAAGCCTCGACTTTTGAACTGCAATGCTTAGGTCAGTCTTTGCATCGGTGTGCCGCATGGTGCTTTGCAGCGCATCTGAAGAACAAGTTCCCTAACTGCTTGCGGCTGCTATTCCAAAGAACATGGCTGTTCAAACTGGAAATTGGCGAGTTGCTTTTGGCCGGTGCGCCACGGTCGGAAACAACAGCCTGGTAGAAGGATATGGAGGCTGACAAGCATACCTTCGGAAATCTGGCAGATGCACCTCTGTGTCGGCACCGAGAGGAACAAGCGTCTCGTAGCTTTGTGAGGGAGCGGCACTCTGATCGCTCGCCTGATGCACAGATCGCCCCAGGACTCAGGGTCAATCACGAACACCTAACACATGTCAATTGCCAAAAACACGAGATGTACAAAGCAATCTTTACCGTGGAGCCTGCTCGCGGCTGATCAAGTCCACGTGTTCCGGGTCATCGTACTCCACCTGCAAACAGCCGTTGTCCCAAGATTAGCCACATCTTTATTTCCAAGACTCCGGGGGTAGCTGTGTACAACCGGACTACCGCACAAGTTCGCGCAAGATTTGGCCAGGCCACAACGACAAAAGGATCCTCTATGGATTTCACGATGGCGCGAGCGTGGTTGTCGACCAGCACCTCAACTGAAGTGTCCTTGCGATCAGCGCCTGGACATGCTAACATGTTGGAATACATTCGACTGCACTATACTATTTTACAGTGTATTGAACTGTGTTATCTGTTATTCTATGCTAGCAGCTAGCATGCCTCTGCATTCTTCCGCTGAGGTGCCAAGTCTCCAGGCAGAAGTCGAGTCCCCGCAAAACCCTCGCGAAGCAGCGCTTGTGTTGCACCGGCCTCGCTACACGCGGATTCTCGGTTCAAGCCTTGGCTGCCTTAGATCCCTTGGCGAAGTCCCTTGCCTTCTCTGCATCCTCGGGCTCCGAAACTGCCTCGGCAGCTGAAGGTATACGGTCCTGTGAGTCTTGTGACTTGCTGTGCTGCACTTGGGGCTGAGGTGCGGACGATGCTGACCCAGTGTGCGCCTTTCAGTACGGTCCTGCTAAACAATCCCGAGTCGGTCCGTACTTTGCACTTTCGGTCGGTGATTTCAGATAGTCTCGAGATTTGGCCTGCCCGCAATCAGTACATTCAAATGATAGTGTCCACATCAGCCCATTCCTCTGAACCTGCTCAACCAAAACCAACTGCGTCCTCAGCTCAGAGAGTGTAAGTCGCGGCTTTCCATCACGGAAGCAGCGAGCAGCCAGGGACTGCAGCTCATGATCATCGTTCACAATACCCTGCCGAGTCAAGGCATCACGCAGCTGCGTATTACACCACACAATGGCTCGGATGTTTCACCAAAAATCGGCTTGCAGTCCTGAAGATCGGCGATAACTCTCCTGAGGAAGGCAACCATCTGCGCCTGGGAGGCAACTGCCACCACACTCTACTGAAGATCGAAGAAAGACCACCTCATCCCGTCACCATCTGCTTTAACCCGGAAACAGAAAACCACAAACACTCCAAGCGCCTGCTTAGGGAGTGTGCTCACCTATCCGGCTGAAATACTTCTCCCAAGATTCACGTCGGATGCCTGCAAATTGCAAAGCCTAAACCCTAAAGACCTCAAACCCCCAACGCCTAAAGTCTGCAAGTCCCGAACATTCCCCCATACCAAAAATCCCGAAGACATAGATCCAAAAGAATGTGAAAAAACTTTGACAGCCAACACAGCTGCACATAGGGCTCCAAGGCAAGCTCTGCATCACAGGCACGCTGTCTCTCCAGGCAGCCGCACTCGCAAATCCTGGCAACAGAAGCTCCAAGCGGATTGTCGAAGTCTCAAGCTGAGCAGCGAGCCTTCTTGCGTCAGCGGGGCATTGATTCCACCGTGCACCATGGAAGCTCGAAGCTTGGGGCACGACCTCTAGACTCCGGCACACTTGGACAGACGGAAACTGCCCCAGTTCAGTTTGCCACCTTTGGAACTCTGCAACAGATGGATCTTTGTGCCCGACAGCAGCAGCATGATGAATGACAGCATGCCAGGCACCACCGCAGACAGCAGCCAGAGATTTCGCTGATGTGGCCGCAAAGCAGAGTATGCCAGAGGCAGCACCAGCCAAGCCACGAGAGTGCCGGTCCTGCAGGGATCATTTTAGTGTCGGGTCCGAAGGCTCTCCAACTAGCGCCAGAGTGTCCAGGATTGAATTGGTCCGAGGATCACCAAGAACGACCGCCAGAGGAGAATGTAAAGGATGAAGTTGGACACACAGCTCATCGCGTCCTTCGTGAGACGTCTTTTGAGGAGGTTGCAGGTAAACTCATAGGTTGATACTTTGGACGGAAGGCGAAAGCAAGTGCATGGCAGCTAGATGCAGTTGCGACATCCTCGACGAGGTCACGCTTGACATCCACAACATCGTCCCAAAGTCCCTGCAGGTGAAAGTTCGGATCGCCGTCCACCTGCCGACAACATGAAAGGTGGCAAGAATGGAAAGACTGCAGCGCTCCTGAAAAACAGGTGTTGGGTGAACACAGGGGCGGCTGACTCTCTGCAACTCTGCGGTTGGGGAAGGCAGCATGCGTTTCAGACGAACAAGCGAACCGTACCCGGTCGCAGCGCTAATGTGTAACGGCGCGGCTTGTCGGTAAGAAGTTGGGAAGCGCAGACGCATGTGGATGCTATAAAACTGCACATCTTCTGGTAGTCCATCAGAACACAACTCCCAGCAGAGCTATGGCAGTACTAAGTTTAAGATTCGATTCTTGTGATGACGGGACTCCCATGGCCATGGACGCTGTCAGACGTGCGGCAGGAGCACGGAGGCAGAACAAGACCGAAAAATAGGGTTCTCCAGGCTAAAAGCGCACCTAGCTGCTCTCGGCCCGCCAACGATCAAGAAAGGCAGTACTCTGATGTTGTCAGCCCAGGCCTGCAGATGCGTGCCATGGTCTTCTGAGGCAGGTGGGCAAAGTGCCATTGCAAACATGGCGTCCTGAGCGGGAGTTCGAAGAGAAACCGAGACTGGGCTGGGGATCTGATGTGCTTGCCACCGTGGAATGAAGGCAGTCCTTGCCACGGCCCAAGTAAGACAAGCGTATGCGAAGTAGGATCCTTGGAGTAGCAACAACCGTGCAGCTTACAGTTCGTCTCCATCAAGCATTCGTGTGAAAGCTGCATTGAGTTGATCCTCTGGTCTTGATGCTTCGAAGATTCTCTCCGGCATTCGGTCCATGCCCAGTACGTAGCGCCTAGCAAGACAGGCATTCTCCGATATCAGCCTGTGTCAACATGCAGCAGCTGCTTATGTGGTTTCATAGTGGAGATTCACAGTGCCGCGTCTAAAGTTGCAGCACTTGCACAAGACGACTGGTATATAAAAACCCCTAAACCCCAAACCCAAAATCCAAAACCAAGAACCCTAAACCCTAAACCCTAAACCCTAACAAAGTGCTGCAGTGTCGAAAAGGCCAAGCATGCCCGCTGAAATCTGCTGCCTCTGGAATCGGGAGGCCGAGCTCAGCCGAGCGATCGACGAAGTAGCCGACACAGTTTCTCAGTAGACTCCTGCATTGTGCGACTCTTTTGGGGGGGTTTAGGGTTCAGGGTTTAGGGGTTTTGGAGTTTCGGGTTCAGGGTTTAGGGGTTTAGGAGTTTAGGGTTCAGGGTTTAGGGGTTTAGGGTTTAGGGTAGAGGGAAACGACAATGCGTCTGCGGACTAGCTCTTCAGCATGCCCGGAACCTCGGGTGTCCCGTTTTCTCTGGAGGCTCCACCTGATCCTCGGTAGAACAAATAAAGTCTACAAAGTCCACATACTGCGTGTCCTTGCATCAGTCTCTGT